CAACAGGTTTTGCTCCAATTGTTATGGCAAAGCTTTATTCGTTTTGGCGTCAGTGGCAACTGAGCTAAGCGGAGAAGTGTTAAAAAGAAATAAAACCGCTTTCTTTGATCGTACAAAACCGTCAAAGCTCTAAAGTTTTCAAACCATTCTTTGTAAAATTACACTATGCTGATTTTAAGTTATGAGATCATTGAAAAGTTTATTCATTAATATTTAAGTTAGCTTCCATTTCTTCTCGTTTAAAGGTGCTTTTTGTAAGGACGGAGTTTTAATTGTTAGTTAACATTACCAATGCCAGCATTTGGTTTTAATTTGAGGTCAGGTGGTGGTTTGAAACCGGTGTTGCTCAGATTGTGCTCTAACATTCCCGAAGTAGGAGTCAGTGAATTCGCCCTGGGTTTCAAGCGTTATTTGTAATCATGAAATAAAGAGGACATCCATTAAATGATAATGTGATGTCTGTACCATGGCTATTTCAAATGAGCCATAAATCTGTCTCGTGTGTGTTCTCTGTTGGCATAATTCACCAGCCATAATCTCTAAGACGTCGTTTGTTACGTGTAGGAATGCTTGAGCTAAAGTTGAGATCCTAAGGTTAAGTTGGCATGGCGGGGATAAACGTTTACACTTTCATTTGGTTTTAACTCACGTTTCCCATTTGCTATGGGCTCAATGGTGCGCGTGGCCGTTCATCTCGGTTGTTCCCAACACCCTCCAGCATGTGCTCGTGTTCCGCGTTTGGCGTTCCTACATTCTTCATTGTTGTAATTACTATATCCAGATTAAATATTAATAATCAGTTGTGTTAAAGCAGTTGACATTGCAAGACTTGGAGCGAAGCGGTAGTATTAATACGAGCTAGACATTGACTAAAGGAGGCAGGTAACTACTATATCGAACTCCAAATTCGTTCCATTCGTCCATGCAGCAGATGTGTTCCATCTGGACATCATCAATTAAAGGATGGGGCGGTGGATCAGCCACGATGGTATCTCCAAGCTCGTCGAAAGTTGCACTCGTGAAACTAGCATATCTTGACGACAAAGTGTGACTGTAAAGGGCCTTATGTTTGGCTTTTGACAGATCCACAGAGTAGCCAAGTTAATTCGTTATTGACGACATGCCACTCAATAATTAAGCACGCAAATTCTGAGTAATCCACGCCTCATCTCTCCAGAAAGTATAAAGCACGTGGTTGCATGACATGTGTCGGGCTTTTGTTTGCGGAGTGGTAAAAATGCATCCGTCACCGGCAAAGACCAAAGATATGCCTCATCAAAAGCCTATGCGCTGTTGCTTTTATAATGCTAATGGTTTGGAGATGTGTCTCATGATTTGCGAGTGGGGAAAGTCCCTCTTCCTAGGCGGTCACTTTGGGCCAACAAAGTGGAGGTGGGTGGGAGCACAGTTGGGGGGATAGCATTACTGCGCTGAACTGAATGATTTATGTGGTGTTAAAAGGCAGATTAGATGGTTGAATCAGACCAAAGTCAAAAGGGGGACTTTAAATAGCATTTTTTACTTATGCATTAGATGCAAAAACGGCCACCAGGCTGGATTCAAACAATGGGAAAAAAAGGAACGAGATTAGCAAACACTCTTGGAGTTTACTTCAAACGCTGATCTTCCCTTCCCCCTCTTTCTTCCATTGTTTTTTTTTTGTTCAAAAGATCCACTCAACCATCTCAGGGCTTAGACGAGCTACTCGATGTATCTTCTGATAAGACAGTTCTCGGTTTTTTGCTCCTCTCCCTTCCACCCTCCCTTCTCTCCCTCCCACCTCCTCCTCCTCCTCCTCCTCCACCCTTTACCACCTAACGCATTAGTTGGATTATATTCCTCAACCAGCTGCTCGAAGTTTGTAAATTAATCGCGAGGTTAATGCAACGAAAGCCGTATTTTACATTATCTCTGCGCAATCATTCTGCCAGATCATTAATGCAAAAACCATATTTATAGATGGAGAGAGAGATATATATATAATTCTATGAGCAGAGCCGCTCTTACTGGTCAATGGATTCTTTGGAGGAAATGCAAATACGCACACAACGCGACCCCTGGATCGGGACAATGCCACCCAGACTCAGTCCATTACCTTCCAAGGGGTGCTAAATAGACTGCAGGGTCTGCCTCATTGCTCGAAGGAGGCAAGAAAAATGAGGAAGGAGACGGGAGCATAAATGTCCTTGGTTAGCAATTTTCTGCCTGTGACAGGGTGGTGCAAGTTCCTGTCTAGGTTATAACCGCCTCGTGCAGATCAAAACAACCGGTACTGAGAGATGATTCAAAGGCGGAGAATAGCTACTTTACCTCTGTCAGGTATACTTTTCTCTTCATAAACAAATCCTTTGACCTTGATCGAGAGGACTACAATTTTTGGCGCATTTCTTTAACTTCCGTGGGTTGTAGACCCTCCTTATTAGGCTTTATGTCTGTTATGCTCTACGTTGAGGCGCAAAGACCATCCAGCCTGCAGATGAAGACAAAAGCTAAGCAAAGCCTCACAATTAGGAGGCGTGTGTGCTACTAGCTGCTTTAATAGTGATACTTTCCTCCATCTAACAACACATCACTCCTCTCTGCAAGCTATCAACACGTGAAAACTTACTTTGGAGGTTGAACCAATTGGAAAATCTCACAAGACATTAGGCTTTCAGTGAGCCAAGCAGGGAGTTTTATGTCTTCTTCTTTCTTTATATACAAAAGAACTTACTAATTCTTACTCCCTTTCTTATGCGAACTCCATATTAGGACTCTAGTGGTACCCTGCAGTGCATTTTCCATGTTTAGACATCTGACGACCTCGTGGGAAACCACTTCCAAATGAACCGAACTGATAAATCCGTATCTCATACTCACTTCCAGAGGCTGCTCTCATGTGATACGACCATTTATTTAGGTCATACTTAACCGTACATAGGTTAAGGTCAATCGCGCATTAATCACGACGTCAGTTAAGCTAGTCTCGGCAGTATTAAATAAAAGGGGAATAGAACACGTGCAATGAGGCTCAGAGGAAACCAAAACTAGAATTAATCAGGTGGATTTAGGAAGATGACAATGAAATGCACGCATTGGGTCTCACAGATGACACGACACGCGAATCTTTTATTCATTTATGAAGGCACAACTTGATTAGAAATACCAAAACGAGAGCACGGGTTGATCATTTTCTTTTTTCAGTAGATTTAAAGTAAAAATCGAGGGTCAAAATCGAGCTATCAAAATGGAAATTGGATTAATGCCTAATAAATAGGCTTAAAATGAATGTATTTATCAATATACTACTAACAGAGCATTCCGGAATTCAGTAGACGCTAACTTTTTCATATGGTTGAGCAGATAAAAGCCCTATAACTGGTAAACATTTGACTGTTCTTCATCGCACTTTTAAACAGATAGTAGGTAGGGTAATGCAACTAATCAACTTTTGACGACTTATGACATCTCCTGGTAGGTGCTGAGGAACCTCACCACAAAACGTGGGAAGTGAGTTTTGCCTCATAAGGCGCTACAATTTTGAGTCCTATTGGTGAGTGATGCAAATTTGTGCATTGTAGGAAGGGCATGTGCTAAGAACAGCAAAATGTGTGACGAAACCTGTCAGAGGGCCTATTGTTTTAGCAGTGTGAGTCCAGTATTCCTAAAAAATGCCGATATCGACTAAAGCACTACCAACCTCAACATCTCTTCATCGTGTCTGCAGGAGGACACAAGTAGAAGGGAGGACAGGATGATGCTATGCAGAATTTTGATGTGTATGTCCAAGCAGTTCTGTAACGAAGTGGAATCGAGGGATGGATGTGATTACTTATTATTTTGGAACCACAAACACCTAAATCCAGTAAGAATGTCCATCTTTTCATTCTCGTGAACATTGGATAATTTCCACGAATGGCTTATGGGTGTTACCCGTCAGTACTGGTTGCGGTGTACTAAAAATTGTGTTGTCTACGAGAAAACGTTAAGGACGGCGCTTAAATACGCCTGTGCAATGCCTTAGCAATTTGGTCAACCCTTGGGAATGCCTCCAAAACTCCCTTTCATACTTCTTCTGGACCAACTTAGCAACTCCAGGCCCTATCGTACGTTGACAATACACATTCTGCTGGAGGGTTATGCATTTTTTAATCTTTATCCGGATGTCAGGGTCCAAAACTATCAACTATGAGGAAAATTGCATAAATGTAGGCGGGATTCTAGACATTGCTGTTTCTTAAGCAAAGCAGGATAAGCCGGTGGGTTGTTCTTGCGATAGGCTGTCAAAATCCACTTTTGAATGTGTGAATCTTAAAGCCTCTCTCTTTGATCACTCAGACGCCTAGTCATTTACCAAAGTGTGAAGTGTTGTCAAGTGTCACAGTGAGCGCATTGAATGCGTACAATTCACGAGTTGAGGAGTCAGACATTTGAAAAATATCCACACTGAAGGCTCCCATCTCAGCATGGCTCTACTGCCCAGCCCGGAGGGAGGCAGAGGAGGGGAGGGTGGGGAAAAACAAGAGGCCATTTTATGATGTTTTCATCTTGTGAGTCTGATGCGTCATCGATGTCTGAATCTTACGCCTAAAAATCGTCATCGCAAATAAAAATTAATGTTAATTTGCCACGTTTTTTTTAAGCATTTGTTGCATAAATTTTCTTCAGATGGGTGTGCTGTTGATGATTGCGCTAGTGAATGAGGAGGAGGAGGAGAACGAGTTTATTTTAAATTAAAATCTTTTAGATTTAATTATCTAACAATCTCCTTCCATTTAATGTTAGAAGCATCAAAAAAAAGCTGCATTTGCATACTTGTGCACTAGAAAGCCATCAAATGGGGCACTGAAACCTCAAGAAGAAAATGGCATTCCCCTTCCATGCTCTGTCGTTTTTTGCGTGCTCAGCTTCCATTCTTTACAATTTACTCCGTGCCACCATGCGATGGTTAAGTGGATGCATTATAACTGTAAAAAAGTGTCATCAATTTCTACATAAATTCCACAAGATAGTAGATGGGAATGAAAGATCTCTACGGCTTGTATTTGGAGCCTTCAAGTTTTACCGAATCCATCATCACCTCCTTCGAACTTTTAACAAAGTTGAGCAAATTCGACATTAACTTGAATGAGGAGAGGATCACCATGGAAGGGGAACAATGGCTATCGCCAGATCAGGACAGTGGTGACGTTCGGGCTTGGCCCATCCTTCCCACACCACCGATATTTCTTAATCGCAAAGCTCCTACCCTTCAGCAGACATGTTGGGCAAACAAACTGAAGGGTGATTAAGCTGAGCCTCAGTTTTGAGTCTTCAAAATACAATTTGCGCTCTGATTAGTCTCTTATATCAACTTCGACAAGCCTTTGATGGAGAAAAAGAGTTCTCGGCTTGTGGAAATGGTATGAAAATGGGAGAGTAAACCTTCAGGTACATTTATGTCTGCAAAGAGGAGACATTCTCCTTACCCAACTGCCACCCCTACTACAGACCGGGACCGGGACCGGAACCACGATGTCCGGAATGGCTGCCAATACCGGAGCTAATGGCAATGAAACACACCTAAAAACACCTTCCACACTACTAACGTAGGAAACCTCAATTTCACCATCTGACTCCAAGCCTTTGTGGCGGCTTAAAGTATACACCCAACCACCAAATTAGCCAGAGGCCAACTTCAGACAGAATGACAGGTTGAAGATGTTTTCTTTGCAGCAAAATATCTGTGCTTGTATTCTGATTTCATCGACCAACAAATGGAGAGGGGCAATCGGCTTGGCGATGGAATTTACGATTGCCCGCAAACCACCTATTAATTAAAGCTTAACCGACCTGTCGAAAGAGTGCCATCCATTTACTAGGCGAAAACCTACCAAAGTTAAAGTGGGTTGGTGGAGTTGGCACAACAATCCACCTCCTCTCTTTACTCTGCAATAAATCAGTCTAAGTAAGCTTACGTTGATGGCATCGCTTTCGTGCAGCAGTACAAAGCATTTGGTTAACACAAGAGACAGTTTTACGTGGTCGGCATAAATAAGGACATTTAAAGTATACACTGATTGAGAAATTGCGTCTAATTTCTACACGCCTTACTGCGGAACCGATGATCTCAGGTGTCACAGATTCCATTCTTGGCTCAACTGAGGAGGGAGGGAGGGTGAGGGGAAGGAAGGGAGGAAGGAAGGCGGATTGTAGGAAAAAAAAATACGTACCTCCGGATGTAATTAAACATTTTGTCCCAGTGATGAGTTTTTTTTCACTAGCCAATGAAAAGGCCACATAAATTGTACCCTTAAACCCTATTTTTATGGCCTATAGAAGCCAGGCAGGCAAACGACCACTTCCTGTTACCCCGTAGCGAATGGATGAATGTTTACCTTCAAAAACCCAGCAGGTGGGGGTCAACTACTGGGTCGCATGTTTATGTCTGGTTTGTGACTCACTCATTTTTTTTTCACCGCCAATGCAGTTCCATATTCTGATACATTCTAGTACCGTTTTATTTGTGTTTCCCTCAGCCCCCACCCGCCCTCTTGCGTATCCACACCCAAATGCGAAGGCGATCACACTGCCACTACGGTCTCTTGATAGAAAATGAGGATTTACTCCGCTCTCCCATCTTCACAATTAATCGCTTGCACTTTTACGCATAGGATCCAATTCTACCGTATGATTAGTAATGAAAGTGGGTACCTCTTCTCGCTCCTGTCACCTAAAATACCCCTCTCTAGACACATAAAAACAAGTCTGTAGGGTGTCTCATTAGCTGAACGAAACGGAGGTAGGATTGCCTGACAGGAGTAGCGCAGATAAAGGATTAGCGTGGTGGAGTTGGGGGGGGGG